TATCTTATTTTGAAGAGGCAGCCGCAATAATAGGAAGACAGATGAGCAAATAAAAGCAGCCTCTTCCTTCTTCTGGGGTTGATATCGTGGCAAACAAACCCTATTGGATCCATATCTCAGTATGAAATACGATCGACTACTTGTTCATCCATCGCATGGCAGTTTAGTCTGAACACATAGATTTCCACACCGATTGTTGCAATGAAGAGCTAATAAACCTCCCCTTTAAAGCCCTGCGTGACTCGTGGAGCTGCAGAGACTCGAGTACCAGAGAGAGGGAGCGCCGCTCCAGACTCATCGCGCTGCTCTGCCTGGACTCCGGGGTGAAGCTTCGCCTCCCCGACGAGCAGGAGCTCCTGGGCCCCGAGGCGGCCGCCAGCTCCAGGTGGCCGTTGGGCGTCAGCGTGCCGATCCGTGGGTCTGGAGGGCGAGAGAGAGAGAGAGAGAGAGAGAGAGAGAGAGGGTTAATCAGCTCGAACAAACAATCCGTGCAATAAACGCAGCTTGTGAGTTTGTTTGCGGCTTCTGTCAGTTAGAAAAAGAAGTTTATGCATCTATGAACTCTGGTCTGGTCTCATCTGCAGCAGCAGCCCACTCACACCGATCTGGACTCCTGTTTAACCCGTCTGGACCGCCGGCGGGTTCCCGCTGAGCGCCGGGTCCAAAGACACGGCTCATCCCCACCATTTGTTCTGTGGGCTTTTGGTATTTTGGGGATGGAAACATGAATAAGCTCCTCGGGGGAAACGAAAGCCTGCAGGATTAAATGAGCGGACTGTCCTGTTTTAACATGAATCGGATCATCTGTGGTTTCCTTTTGGAGCCCACCAGCTTAGTAAATGACCTAAACAACAATTAACCTTTACAAAACCCGATTTAAATGACTAAACTTAAAGCCGCTGACTTCCTCTGGGATCAATCCGTAAGGGATTCTAGATTCTTTTAATGGAATGAGCTCCGATTGGTTTGTACATTTTGATACTAATCAGATTCATACTTTTACCTTTTGTTTGGGGACGTTTTTTTAGACAGAAGAGTAGCGTTTGAAGCCCTGCAGACATAACTTAACTTTTTGTCTTAATTCTCAATAACGGATGTCAATTGTATTCAAATTATTTTTACTTTATGCTCAATAATTCAACTTAATTCAAGCCAATTAATTTCCCCCCCGATAGGCTCCTCCTCCTCGCCAACACGCCGCCCGCTCACCAGACAACTTGATGGAGTCGTGTTTCTCGCTCTCGTCAAAGTTGGAGTCGTCATCAGAATAGGAGCGATTGGCGTCGCCCTGGAGACGAAGGTCGCAGGGGGAGAAGAAGAGGAGAGACACGGAGTTACATGGAGCTCCTCTCCTGGGACGCCTCATCCATTGGACCTGAATCTGATCTGGACCTCCTGCTGGGAGCATTCTGGAGGTCATCGGGTACACCCAAAGACCCTCTTCTCCATCAGCCCCAGGGGGTCTGTGGAGGTCTTCACAGCGGGAGAATCAGCTGATGAAGAATCAGCTGGGTTGCATCACCAATAACTCAGAAAGCTGATTGAAGGCGTGGGTTTCCACTGGTTTCCATGGCGACGTCTGGCTTCAGAAAGTCACCCTGCAGACTGCTGATTACGCCTCAGATAAAGATCATAATTGTAGTAAATACTGTAATTATCATGTTTTACTCAATTTTCTCTGAACATAATAAACAATACAGGAGTTAATGTGGCATGCTATATATATATATATATATATATATATATATATATATATATATATATATATATATATATATATACATATCTCCTGATCTCGGCATCTCGGGCTCTGGTCTCTCCTACAGCTGTTCTTACATTTGTTGGAACTGTTGGAACTGGTAAGTAACTATATACGTTTTTTAAATGCCCACCAGATTTGTATTCTCGACACATTCTCAGAATGGTATTGAAACTTTCCTTTTAACCAATTTAACCTCCAGAACATTGGTGAGAAATGGAGAATGAAAGCTTGTTGATCTCCTCCATTTCCGTGGTTTCTCTTTCTTTCTCTAGAGAATCTGAAATACGTCAGCCTCCTGCTGCGGCCTGAACCAAATTAGCATTTCTAAAAGGTTATTAATGAATAAGATTAAGAGACCACTTGGCGTACCTCAGCCTGAAAGCCCTCCACCAGGATGGCCACCAGCAGGTTGAAGAGGACGTAGTTCCCAAAGGTCATGAGGGCCACGAAGTAGAGCGCCGCCAGCGGGGAAGTGGCTGCCATCCCGTTGTACAGCACTGCATTCCAGTCCTCCTGGGTCAGGATCTGAGACACACACAAGTACCACTTCAGAGTAGTAGTACCACAGCGCGACCCTTCAAGGAGCAGGTCCACATCTTCATGTGAATGCGTTAAAATGTGAATAACAGTGTTATGCAGTCGTCTTCAGGCTAAAGGTCCACAGTGATTTCTGCAAGGAAGAAATCACCATCTTAGCTTCAACGAGGGACATTTAACCGGTTATGAACCAGGATCGAAGTGATACTGGTTCCACCATGTGACCCACAGAAGGAAAACAAGACCATCGGCTAATGATCGGTCATGTATTTGTGGTCATGGTGGAACAAAAAAAAAAGGAAGTTCTTGTAGGGACTTAAAATATGAGCAAGTCATCTGCGTATTTACAGATATGGTCACAAGGTGGAGTGGACGTGCAGAGATGTGTGTTCTGTACCTGGAATACGGTGACTATGGCCCACAGCAGCGAGTCAAAGTTCTTCCGGTCCGGCACCGTGTCGCCGGTCTCCGTCTTCAGGCTGAACTTGCAGCCAAAGATGTGCATCCCCAAGATGCTGCAACACACCAGCAGAGCCCCCACATGCTGTGACCAACCGATTCATAAATGGGGATTTGATCTGGCATGACGGGTATGAAACTACATTTCAGAATTATCCATAGAAAATTCTCTTTGTCTCAGAGGACAAAGCCCGAAGCCTTAATAATAAGACGCCTTCTACTCCGATAACCCTGTCGTCCGAAAAAAATAAAAGATAATTGCACACACATATTTACAGTATATGTACACATGTACACACACATGGAGGTAACGTGTAACGTATATATATATATATATATATATATATATATATATATATATATATATATATATATATATATATTGCGTGTCTCTTTGTGGTTGTTTTGAGTCTCTTTGTTGTCATTTTGTGTCTCTTTGTAGTTGTTTTGAGTCTCTTTGTGGTTGTATTGAGAGTCTTTGTTGTCGTTTTCTGTCTCTTTTGTGGTTGTTTTAAGTCTCTTTGTGGTTGTAAGTCTCTTTGTGGTTGTTTTAAGGCTCTTTGCTGTCGTTTTGTGTCTCTTTGTAGTTGTTTTGAGTCTCTTTGCTGTCGTTTTGTGTCTCTTTGTAGTTGTTTTGAGAGTCTTTGTTGTCGTTTTGTGTCTCTTTGTAGTTGTTTTGAGTCTCTTTGCTGTCGTTTTGTGTCTCTTTGTAGTTGTTTTGAGAGTCTTTGTTGTCGTTTTGTGTCTCTTTGTGGTTATTGTAAGTCTCTTTGTGGTTGTTTTGAGTCTGTTTGTAGTTGTTTTGAGTCTCTTTGTGGTTGTTTTGAGTCTCTTTGCAGTTGTTTTGAGTCTCTTTGTGGTGGTTTTCTGTGTTGTTCTTTAAGGTCATAGAATCGCTTTCCTCTTTGTGGACATTGTGTGCAGGCCAGACGGCCCTGGCTGGTTGGGTCCTCTGGCTTTGGCCTCGTAGGCTTGTTCAGTAATCCCTCCGTCTAAAGAAACACAAGACAAAAGACGTGATGTGTGTCACCTCACCTGAAGATGAAGATGAAGAGCATGAGCAGCATGCAGAACGTGGCCACATTGTCCATGGTCTTCATGAGGACCACCAGCTGCCTCCTCAAAGCTGGCATGAACCTCACCAGCTTCAGCACCCTGAGCAGCCTGAAGGTCCTCAGGACGGACAAACCGCCGTCCGACTGGCCGACGATCTCGCACACGCTGAGAAGACAAATGTGGGACACAAGTTCCAAAGGCTGTTAACACGAGGAGCACATGTTGGTGGAGCGGCCCGTGTGGGTGTTGATGCTTGTTAGCGCACTGGGTGAACTCCGCCTGCCACCACGGACCGGAGGGCACAGATCTAATGGGGGTGCCCATCAAAAGGCTCCTCTGAGGACATCAGAATGGCATCCAGCACACTGAAATGGGGGCACTTTATGAGAGAAGTATGAATATCTGAGGGCATTCACACTGATGAAGAGCAGCGAGAGAAAGAAGACGGACGCAGATATGTTCAATCAGCGAGCATCTTCTGTGACGGGCAGCACATTTGATCTCGCTCGGCATGAGTCGCTTTGATTCGTATTTGATCTCCGGGTTATAATGGGGATCACAGACAAAACGGGCTCAGCCAGATGAATTAGGAAATGAAATAAAAAGCTAGAAGATCAAAGGCACAGCCGCTCACCTGAAGCCACGGGCGAATACAACAAAGAAAAAAAGCTGCTGTCTGACGCCGCGGCATCCAAACACATTCAGGTGGTACATTTCTATCACGCAACGCAGAGGACAATGGGACAAAACACGCATGAATCATTCAACCGCCAACAGATAAAGGCATGAACAACGTCAGATGAAAGCATGAACAACGTCGGGCCGTATTTCAGACAGATATTTGGTCCCACACATATCCAACGATATATATGTATTTATAATATATATATATTACCTGATGATGACAATGATTCCGTCGAAGACATTGTAGGGGTTCCTCAGGTAGCTGAAGGAGCCGAACGCGGTGAGCTTGAGGATCATCTCCAGGGAGAACATGCTGGTGAAGACGATGTTGCAGATCTCCAGAACATTAGTGAGCTCGTCCGGCTGACGGAGGGCGGAGACGGATGAAGGGACAGGAGAAAGAAGAGGAGCAAAGCGAGTTACAGCCAGAAATAAGGTTTACGAGGTTCAAAGGTCGGCGGCAGGTGAGCAACCGCACTGTTTCTTCTTTGTACATGATTTCAGACAACAGCAGCGACCGCTGCGCCACAACTGCTGCCAGCGACGGCGAAGTCACAGGAAGGCGTCGCCAAAAGACCACGTCGTTGTGTGAAAGCAGACAACGATATGAGAGAAGACAGACGAATGGAAAGGGACGGGCGAGAGGACATTGTCACCAGGAACATGACGGCCCCTTTTGGTCATTATCTCATAAACCCACAAACTACGAGCTGTTCTCAATGGATACACAACACACACACACACACACACAACACACACACACACAACACACACACACACACAACCACCCCCCCGAACCGCAGCCGATCGAAACGCTCTAAATTGATTGGTGGAAAAGGGCACGGAGAAGGACAAAGGACACACAGCCACTGATGCCAAAGTGCTGGTGGGGTGAAGCAGCTTCGCGTCCACGTCCACCGGACGCGGGTGACACCGGCGGGGCAAATATCTGGGGTGGTATTACAACTTGGACGTGCCGTCGGTTTCCTGAACGAGCCCACCGAGACTTGTGAACACGAAAATAAATAAACTACCTTCACGATGTCGTTCTCCCTGTTTAACTCGCCGTCCGTCTCAGGCTGTTAGTGTGCATCAATGTCCGTCTCTGTTTGAGTCCCTCTGTCTGCCTCACACACACACACACACACAAACACATGCTAACTAACACACGCACACACACCTTCACAGAAGTGGCAAAATTCGGCACATTCACTAATCAACAGAGCGTCTCTGTAACTTCGGGCGAAGTCTCCTCTGACCTTTCACCGCCCCAAAATCAACGAGTAATGTGTGTGTGTGTCTTTGTGTGTGTGTGTTTATCAGCACTAATGAGTGTTTAGCAGTGGGGGAAAAGCAGGCTAATGATGCGTGTCCACCAGCGCCGGGAACAACAAGCCGGCTGGTCTGCAGCCTCTGGAGATCCGGTCTCATTACTGCGGACCTGAGATCAGATCTGAACACGGATGGACGGAACCAAGTAAGAAACATACATGTAAAATGTGTGTGACATCCAGTCATGTTTCAGTAACGTGAGCATGGAAACCATCACAGACACAAGTCCAAGTGATGGAAGTCGTTTTCCGTGTGTGCCGAGTGGAGAGTCTTCTGGTGCTGGTAATTGGCCTGGAGGCAGACGGGGTCTCGTTAGGACTCGTCCTGCTGGCTGTGGGTTCTTCGCTCGGTCACTTTCATTTCAGCTTCTTTTCAAAAGCCTCCCGGTTCCTGCGGATTGATTCGCTGTCCTCCAGAACCACAAATGATGATTACATTTCTCAATTCTCTGACCTACTTTGGCTTTTATCACCACTTAGGTTTTGTCTCCGCCGTGATCTCTTCTTGATTTGCATGTGAGCCACGAGGGCGCTTTGGGTTTTAATCTCGACGCTTCGGCAGCGAAAGACAATCGATCCCCCCCACCGTCCGACCTCCGTAGTGCCCATTACACTGCTGCATTATTCATCTACAAACAGCTGTTCAGTCCTCTGACGTGTCTCCTCTCTCTGTGGGGGGGAGGCCGGGAGTTGTGATGCGGTTTGTGATGGAGATCCTCTACTCTGGGTCTTCATCTCAGAGTGGTTAGTTCCATTTAGAACCTTCAGCAATGTCACTTCATCGTGACTCCAGTGGAAGCCGACATGCCGCCCATCACTCCTCCCTCTGACAGTCTCAGGGACACTGTCTCAGGGTGTTGCTTTCATCATTTACATGTACAGCAAATGTATTGTTGATGTATTCAGTGTTTTATATTTGACATGATATTCACTCTTAAAGTACCTACCTACCTACGTGTCCATCTACATAGTATCATCCTGTCTACCTGTCCATCTACCTACATACCTACCTGTCCATCTACCTACATGTCCATATACCTACATGTCCATCTACCTAGTATCAACCTGCCCACACGTCCATCTACCTACATACCTACCTGTCCATCTACCTACGTGTCCTTCTACCTAGTATCAACCTGTCTACATGTCCATCTACATACATACCTCCCTGTCTATCTACCTACGTGTCCATATACCTACATGTCCATCTACCTAGTATCAACCTGCCCACACGTCCATCTACCTACCTACCTACGTGTCCATCTACATAGTATCATCCTGTCTACCTGTCCATCTACCTACATACCTACCTGTCCATCTACCTACATGTCCATATACCTACATGTCCATCTACCTAGTATCAACCTGCCCACACGTCCATCTACCTACATACCTACCTGTCCATCTACCTACGTGTCCTTCTACCTAGTATCA